AACCATGAGAGAAAGACACAGCAGTCTATATCAATGAAGATTTGTAGTCTTGGAAATCCCATGGGATTTCCCATAGTCCTACTTTGCCCTGCTGTTGTTAAGTGCCCGAAAGTGGTTCCAACTCATAGCGACCCTGTATAGGGTTTCCGAAGAGCAGCTAGTGAACTTGAACCACCAACCTTATAGTTCAAACTGACCTTGCAGTCCAGTGCACTAGCCCGCAGTGCCACACCAGGACTCAGCTCTGTCCTACAGGGTTGTTACAAGTCAGAATCAATTCTAAGGCAGTGGAGTTAGGAATGTTAGTACCTTCCTCAGGAAGCTGTTCTTGAAATTTAAAGCCTATCTAAGTGACCAATGTCTGTGTTTTCCATAGCTTAATGTACATAGTTTATCAAAGTCATGAAATATTATACTGAAAAGTCTAGTTAGGTATCATTTTGGTCAAAATTGAACAATAAATATGAAGACTGAGAGGATTGTTATGATATCTTTAGTGTGTGGTAACAGTGGTGGTGGTTATGTGCCATGGAGTCAGTTTCAACTCATAGTGACCCTGTATAGGGTTTCCTAAACTGTAAATCTTTACAGGGGCAGAAAGTCTCATCTTTCTACCTCAGAATGGCTGGTAGTTTTGAACAGCTGACCTTGAGGTTAGCAGTCCAAAAAGTGTTGATTGAATTTGTGTGATGAAAGAAAATAAAAAGCATTAAGGTTTTCTGCCTTTAAATATATGCAAGATGGTTATAAATTGTATGAAAGGAAATACATAACCCATTAAAGCAACAGAAAGAATTTAAACTAGTCCCTGGTGGGGCAAAAAAGAAATGATTGCAAAGAAGCCTCAGAAATGATGAACAAAGATAACTGCTCTTATAGCAGAGGCTTCACAACTAACATTGCCGTTATAGAGGTGTGTTGTTCTTATTGTTAAGTATGGAGTTGGTTCTGACTCATAGCAACCCTGTATAGAGTTTCCATGGAGTGGCTGGAGTGTTTGAATTGCCTACCTTGCGGTTCAAACCATCCTTGCAGTCCACTGCATTAACCCACAGTGTCACACAAGGACTCCTATTGAGGTACAAGCAATTCTATTCTTGAAATAATATGTATTTTCGAAATTGTAACTTGGGTGAAATTTTACAGAGCAAATTAGTTTTACATTCAACATAGAAGTAGCTGGTGAGTTTGAACCTCTGACCTTGTAGTTCAAATCAACCTTGCAGTCCAGTGCTTATCCTACAGCACCACACCAGGACTCATATAGGTGACTATTCTGAGGACTATGTTTCTCCTGAGCGTTTTTGTTCACTTTGTAGACTTGTCTGTTGTGTGGCTATGTGCTGATCCCCAAGAGTATGTCCACTTCAGGTAGAAAGTTTTCTGGTCTTCGGAGTTCCACTAGCGTCTGTCAAACCAGTAAATTTGGGCTATTTTGTACTTTTTTAATAAATAAACTTTGACTGTATTTTTAACTGAGAAATATCTATCATTATGTGAATTAAAAGGGGGAGAGTTGTTATTTAGCATTTGTCAGTAACAGAAGAATATATACTTCATATGAGGTGCTCTGGTAGTATAGAGGTTACTAGTCAGGCTGCTAATCTCAAGGTCAGCAGTTCAAAACTGCCAACTATTCCATGATAGAATGATGAGGCTTCCTGCTCCAGTAAAGATTTCCAACTTCAGACACCCTCAGCAGGGTTGCTATGGAACTGACTCCCCAGCAGACGACCACCACCACCACCATAAATTTCATGTAGGGCGTGCTTGGCTTGAATGTAAGTACATAGGTAAGTAAAAAAGTATTGTTACACTCTCATAATATAAAATATTTTATTAAAAATATGTTTAAATGTGAACCAATTGCTCCTTGATAGATCCTCCATCTATGTCTATACACTTCTGAAGGATGTGTTTCGATTGCTCTAATGCTTCTCAGAAGAATTCTGTGCCCTTCAATTTATACTGCATCAAAATGGCAGTTTTGACATTCTCATGAGACACAAATCATGTGGGGAACAAAACCAAGTCTCAAGGGGCAAGATCAGGGCTATAGGATGGATTTTGTAAGTTTCCCTACAAAATTCTCATAAGAAAATCCTTGCTACCCTCAAAGAATGAGCAAGTGTACTGTGGTGGGTAAAAAAATCCCTTGGAAATATATCCTTACCTTTTTTTCACCAATACAGTTTTTAGTTTCTTTTTTAAAAAATTCATAATAAGCCCTTGTAATCATCCTATACCCTTTCAACAAATCTTAAGGTTAACTCTTTGGAATCTCAGATACAGCTCCCATAGCCTTCTGAGTTGACTTCTCTAACTTGAGTTGAATTGGCCCAGTAGATCACCTTGAGAGCTTCTATTTCAATAGGGCTCTTTTTTGAAGGCAAATTAATGAGATTAAGACAAGTGTGTTACTGAGAAAATTTATCTACAACTACTAACTGATCACAAAAACACATTTTGTTTGGAATAAACTCAGACATGTCTAAACTGAAACCCTAGTGACAATATTTTATGACTTGTCCCCTATTTAACATTAGTTGTGGCGCTGAACTGTAAATTCCATTTGAACTGCAAGATCAGTGGTTCAATCTCATCAGCTGCTCCTTGGAAACCTTATACAGGGTCACTAGGGATCAGAACCGACTTGACAGCACTTAAAAACAACAAATCTTTATTTATTTACTATCTTTGCACTTGGGAAAATTGTCAAAAAAAAACTACATCAAAGCATGTTCCTCATTAAAAACATACAACTGGCAGTAACAAATGTCTGTGTGTAGCAAGACTAACACTGAACATGATGGTTACAGTTATTTTTCAGCTTGATTAGGCCATGATTCTCAGTGGTCATCCTCTATTTTGTGATCTGTTGGGTCATCCTGCCATTTCACATAATGATGAATTTAGATAATGACTTGATCTTTGGAAATTAACATCGATAAGTGAGGAATAGGTGTGTTGTTATTAAGTGTTGTTGAGTTGGTTCCAACTTATAGCAACCTGGTACAATGTTTCAAAGGAGCAGCCAGTACTTTTAAACAGTCAGTCTTGTGGCTCAAACTGACCTTGTGGTCCAGTACTTATCCTACAGTGCCACAAAAGTGTAGTGTGTCACAAAAAAAAACCTTTGAGATTAAAGAGAAAATTAATGTTTAGTGTCAATGAAAAACTATCTACATCAAATTGAATGTGTTTAGCTCATTTGATTTATAGAAATTGAGAGATTTAAGTAATCTCAACTAATGGGGTATAAAAGTAAAATTATGAGAAATGTCATATAATCCTGTGATTTTTGTTCCTACGGAGACTAGAGTTGATATATTGGAAGATCTTTGGCAAATCAGTTAATTCTTCCACTTTATAATAGGACTTTTTAATCTTTCAATATTATAATGACTAAGTTTCTTGCCTTTCTGTTAGTGCTGTCATTACCTGTGTACTATATTGTTCTATTCTATTCTACTATATTTACAAGTCGGCATACTATACTATTCTATGATATTTACAAATCTATATACTATATTTTATACACTGCACATTTACTAATGTTGATGTTCAGTGTTGTGTTGGTTCTGACTTAGAGTAACCTTGTATAGAGTTTCTGAGAAGAAGCTAGTGAGTTTGAACCACCAACCTTGTGGTTAATAGTCCAGTGTTTATCCTACAGCACCACAGTATACATAAAAAATATAACATGCTTCAATAATCAGTGACCATGGTGTTAGTATCACTTGAAACATTGTATCTGTGTATTTATAATATACTTGAATGAGTTACAAAGAATTTGAAGAACAAAATAAAAAACGTTTTAATATTTTTTAATATTGTATTATGGAAGAAAGATGAAGCTTTCTGCTCCTGAGAAGATTTAAAGTCTCAGAAACCCTCTACAGGTTTATTGTGTTGGAACCAACTTGATGGCATTTAACAACAATATTATATTATCAATATTCCTAAAGAATAATTCCTATCAATGTATGAGAAGCACATCAAAGTTTGTTCTGATGTCAGTGCAAAAATTATATTGCCAGTGAAAAGAAGGTATTAAAGAAAGTTCTAAGACATGGTCAAGGTAACTGCTAGAGTGTGTATTTATTATATGTGTGTGTGTGTTGTTGTTGGATATTGGTAGAAAAAGAGATAGAGAAAAAGTTATCTTAATTTTGGTGTTTTGCAATTTCTTCAAGAAGACAGAAAAGCTGAATTTCAAAAAATCAGTGAGAAATGTGCTATGCTAAATGAGATGAAGTTTTTTACACTGAATCGAATATTTTCTTCTTGGGATAAAAGGGAATAGATAGCCTTTAATAATAGTGCAGATCTTCTGTGAGCATCCACATTCCTCAAAACTTAGTTCCTAATTATAATATAATATAAAATGTAAGACTACAAATAATTTACTGGGTACCAATCAACTCGACGGCACTTCAACAATGTCCTTAGTGGAGGTTTCACTAAGGAGAAAATGGGAACTGAATAATTTGATGGCCTGTTACTCCCATCTTCACTTTTCTTGACAATAAAGTGAGCTGAATTTCTCTTCAGAACATTGACATCTTTTTTGTTACTTTGCTGTGGGAGAAAATTAAGGGTGGAGGACACTATTTCCTCCCATTTTTTTTTTTAAATTTACCATAAATGATGACTGATTTTCTATAATAAGCTACCAATATTTTACTGTTCATCATTCAGAGATTGAGGAGAAAAAGAAAAAGACTGAATCAATGAGTGAATTCCATTTCTTTCTCTCTATAGCCACCTACCTGTGAGTAATAAACATTTAGGAGTAAACTTTTTAAATATATTATTCAAGCATAAATTCTATTAATAAACAGATTTTATTATTGGTGTTAGGGTCCAACTTTTAGTGACCCTATGTACAGCAGATGGAAAAAAACACCTAAGGCTCGTCGCACCGTCTCCACAGGTTGCTGCTCCTTCGGGGGTTCTGCTCCCACCCTACTCTGCAGCTTGGGGATCCGGTGCTCTCAATGTCTGAAATTGCGCTTGTGCTCATGACTGAGAAGGCTATGGCAGCTGCGGAGACTTCAAGCACCCTAGGATATTTTTCCAGACTCCAAATTCCCCTTCCAGCAGTAAGAACTTTTTCCATGTCACACTCATCGTATAAAGTGTGTTATCCTGTGTGGAATCTGCACCAACTCAATCATGTTGCCATAGCTGTGTCAGATTTGGAAAAGGCTTCAACATTTTATAAGAATATTCTTGGGGCCCAGGTATGTGAAGTGGTCCCTATTCATGAACATGGAGTATCTGTTGTTTCTGTCAACTTGGGGAATACCGATATGGAATTACTTCATCCCTTGGGCAGTAGCAGCCCAATTGTGGGTTTTCTACAGAAGAACAAGGCTGGAGGAATACATAACGTCTGCATTGAGGTGCATAACAAAGTTGCAGCTGTGACGGATTTGAAAAGCAAGAAGATACATAGTTTAACTGAAGAGGTCAAAATAGTAGCGTATGGGAAACTAGTGATTTTTCTCCATTCCAAGGACTGTGGTGGAGTCTTTGTGGAACTGGAACAAGCTTGATTTGTAGTTTCAAAAAAGTAAATCACTGATGAAAGAAATTCTTAGAAAAGAACATAAAAATTAAATTCAAAGTGACAATGTTGTAGTTAAGAATTAGTTCCGACTTGTGGTGGAATTGTAGGAGGTTTCTGAAGCTGTAAATCTTTGCATGAATAGAAAGCCTCATCCTTTTCCCATGGAGTGGCTAGTGGGCTTAAACCACCAACTTTGTGCTTCACAGTCCATTATTGTGAGCAACCACACTCCAAATTAACAATGTTGTTGTTGTTATGTACCGGGGAGTCGGTTCCGACTCATAGTGACCCTGTACAGGGTTTCCGAGGCTGTAAATCTTTACGGGAGTAGAAAGCCTCATCTTTCTCCCGCAGAATATCTGGTAGTTTTGAACTGCTGACCCTGAGGCTCACAGTCCGATTCATAACCACATAGCAACTCAAAAATTAGATAGGAATTTTAGTGGGCTCATATTAGTGTAGGACGAACAACTCAAAAAAGGAGAGCAAAAATGGTTGTGCAACTTAAAGAATGTAATAGTTATTAGTGAATTGGACATGTAAAACTTGTTGTGTATGTTTTTCTGTGTCTCTTATCAACAATACAAAATAAAGAAAACCATCAAAATATACTGTAAAAACAGAACAGCTAGTCTTGCACCATCCACTCATTTGTGCCAATTCATCCAGTTGAAAGTCTCCCTCTTTCTCCAGGGACTGGTTCCTCCTGATAATAAATCTGAAGTATGAGAGGCAAAACCTGGTCATCTTGGTTCTTAAGGAGAATTCTGGCTGTACTTCTTCCAACACAGATTTGTTTGTTCCTCTGGCAGACCATGGTACCTTTAATAGTTTTCTCTAACACCATGCATCAACTCTTCTACATTCTTCCTTATTCATGCTCAACTTTCATATGCATACGAGGCTATTGACAATACCATAGCTTGGGGCAGACACACTTTAGTGTGTGCAAACTGACATATTTGCTCTTGCACACATTAAAGAGGTCTTGTGTAGCAGATTTGCCTAATGCAATACATTGTTTTCTTGACTGCTGCTTCCATGAATGTTGATAGTTGAGATGAACAAAATGAAGTCTTTGACAGCTTCAATTTTTCATCATTTCTATGGATATAGTTTATTAGCCAAGTAATGAGGATTTTTGTTTTACTTATTGTAAATATTAAAAAAAAAAAAAAAAAAGCTGACACAAAAATAAAACTACTTTTGTATGTTGTTGTTGTTGTTAAGTGCCGTCGAGTAGGTTCTGACCCATAGCGACCCTGTACAGGGTTTCCGAGGGTGTAAATCTTTACGGGAGTAGAAAGCCTCATCTTTCTCCCGCGGAGCAGCTGGTAGTTTCGAACCGCTGACCTTAAGGTTCGCAGCCCGATTCGTAACCACTACTCTACCAGAGCTCCTTTTGTATAGAGGTAATTTAATTCAGAATGGTTTCAGGATGGATATTTAGAGGGCTGAAAGATGGTCACTCTAAAACCTTTTCAAAAAGGAACAAGTTAGAAAAACTGCAAATTAGTAGTTTTTTTCTAGAATTCATTTCAGAAGTGAGGTCCCAAGACAAATAACTGACCCTAAAACTAGGGAGATGAAGGCACTTGGAAAAAATACAGCTGAACACTGTTTACCTGAAGTAGATGCCACTGAACGCTGTGTAAACCAGTAAGAAGATTCAGATTAAAATTTGTAATGAATTCTTACTAATGAGCATGGGAATGTCAGGAGTTGAGATACAGGGCGTTTGCAACCTCGCCACATATTTCTTCCACAAAATCTGCCAGACATTTACAGGGAGCATCATAGAGAATCCCGAGTAAGCTTACCCTGTAGTACTGGGTAGAGAAGAAGAGCAGTCACTACAAACCTAACCCAGCCCCACCTCCTCTGTGTCACTAACAGAAAAAATAAACTTACTTGGTAGATAGAACTGCAGAAAAAACTTTACATTCTGAATCACATTGATGTGGAAGGAAAGCGATAGAAAAACATCCTCTATATCTGGGGAAAGTAAGAATATAGGCTATTTGAAACACTATAGGTACATGAAGAAGAGGCCAAAGCAATTGTTGAAAGTCACATAACCAAGATCCTAGAATACAGTGGCTACATAAAACTGAGGCTGAATCAGAACATGAAAGACCAGACCTTTCGATTCCCCACCACCACCCCACCTCAAGTTGCCAATCTTTGAATTAAAAGAGCAACTGAATACACCTGGCAGTGTTGTCAGATTCTCTCTAGGGCATAATGAAGAGAGAAGGCGTGAAGGCTAAAAAGAACAAATATTAAGAAAATAACCTCCAGCAGAGCTACTCACGTCTTAAACATAGAAACTTGAAACTTGTGATAAATTGACGGTGTTTGTAAGTGCCATTAAGTCGGTCCTGACCCATAGTGACCCTCTATAGAGTTTCTGAGGAATGCTTGGTGAGCTTGTACTGCCAACCTTGTGGTTCTAACTGGCCTTTCAGTACAGCACATTAACACACAGCACTACGCCAGGACTCCTTACTGATGGTAACTATAGGAAAAAGAAACCCAAAACCCAGTTAAAGACTAGAATAACATAGATTCAACATTAAAGGTCTAGCAGAAGGAAAAATGTGCCTATCTCCAAGCATAACACATATTTAGCTCGATGTCTACTTTCCTACACAGATGTCTGATTTTGAATAACAAAAACAATATCCACAAAAATATAAGACACAAGGAGAGGAATGAAAGAACACCCTGGGAGTGGGCAACAAGCATAAAAATTAGAATGATATATGATACAAGAGATTGAAACTACCAGATTAGGAATTGAAAACAATTGAGTAATATATGCTAAAAGACATAATGTTATAAGTGCCATCGTGTTGGTTACAACTCATAGTGATTCTGTATGGGGTTTCTGAGAAATGATTGGTGGATTCGAACCACCAATCTTTGTGATTAGCAGTCCAGTGCTCATCCTACAGCACCACAGCAGGACTACAGTGGAATATGTAGGCGGTGTGGTGGTATTTATGTGCCATGGAGTCAGCTCCGACTCATAGCAACCCTGTACGGGGTTTGTGAGGCTGTAAACCTTTACGGGAGCAGAAAGCCTCATCTTTCTCTCACAGGACAGCTGGTAGTTTCGAACTGCTGACCTTGTGGTTTGCAGCCTGATTCGTAATCACTATGCTACCAGAGCTCCTGGAATATGTAGGTAGGCTGATGCAAAATGAGATGGGTAAATTCAGCAAAGAGATGAAAAGAATAAAAAGAAAAAAACGTAAAAATACTAGGAACTTTAATGATTTGTATTGTAAGAATACATCAACATATTCTTCACTATTTATTTTAGAGCCCACGGATCATTATTGTCATTACACTATTCATAATATGTGATTCCTTTTAATTAGAATATATAGACTTATTCTTCTAGTCTTTAATATACTTTAGGTTGTATGTGGCTTCTAAAATTATCTAGCACAGTTTTTTATTTCTCATTTCCTACCTTAGTTTAGAAGCCAACCTGCTTTCCATATTGTGGTTAGTTTAACTCCACTTCTCTGTTTCTTTAATGGCAACTTTTAAAGATAATGTTTATATTTATAAGCACTAATATCTGGTTTCCATTAGCTTTTAATTTATTCATGATTTTAAGTTCCATTTATTCAGATTTTTAATCTCAATTCTAAAGTTTACCCATGGCTGTTAGAATTTATCAAAAGCAAGTTTGAAGGAAAGGGTTTTTTGAGTCAGATACAGTAATGCAATAACCAATTAGGAATAGTTTTTCAAATTCTTATATTATTTTTCAACATAAATATATTGTTATCAAGCTCCATTGAGTCATTTCTAACTCATAGCAAACCTCTATAGGGTTTCTGAAGGGTCACTAGTAAGTTTGAACCACAAACCTTGTGACTCACAATCTAGTGCATATCGTACAGCACCACACCAGGAATCCAACATAAAGATATTACTAATGTAGTATTTTAAATATAAGGAGCTCTGGTAGCATAGTGGTTACGAATCAGGCTGTGAACCACAAGGTCAGCAGTTCAACACTACCAGCTGTTCTGCGGAAGAAAGATGAGGCTTTCTGCTCCTGTAAAGATTTACATGTTCAGAAACCCTATACATGGTCGCTATGAGTTGAAACTGACTCCACGGCACACAACAACAACAACATTTTAAATATATCTAGACTAAAAGTTCCTACTGATTCACATACTTCACATGCAGATTTCTTTAGAATGTGTGTGTAAGAAGTCCCTTCATGGTTCATTAATTGGAGCTCTGGTGTGGCACTATAGGATAAGTACTGGACTGCTAACTAACTGGTCAGCAGTTCAAACTCACCAGTCACTATTTGGAAACCCTATACAGGGTTTCTATGAGTCAGAACTGACTTGATGGCACTTAACAACAACAACAATAACAACAACAATCTTTAACTGATGGCTTTCTATCTCTCCTCCTGACAACTAACCTGACTCTTCTGACACCTCATTGTTGAATAGGTTTTATAATCATCACCAAATCAAGTCCTCAGCATAAGTAAAGCTGAGTGGCTTCAAGAAGGTTGCTTGCTTGTGCTCCCAGACACTTTATTGGTGGTGCTAGGTGTGCTGACCCTCAGAGCTAGAGCTGAGGTAATAGGGCTGATGATTATGCTGAAGTGGAGTGTCCTTTGGCCATTTCTCATCACTCCTAAAAGAACTTTGGAATATTGCTTGAGCAGGGAGCAGGGCAGAGGTCAGTGGGCCATGTGGCTGAGAGGACAAGGACCAGAGAAAGGCTTGCCTGTGAGTCTGACTGGAAAAAAGGTTACCCTGAACAAAGAACTGTAATCTGAACATTTCTAATTCTGAATTTGAAAACTGTTAGCATCCTTTCTGAACCCCATAACCATGAGTATGGTCTATGAGTTATTTGTGGTCACAATGAATTATGGAACAGAGTGCAATGTACAGAGTGCTATTGAAGGGATGACTAGTATAAGAATTGGTAATG